GAGGAGGAGAGACAGCCCAGAGGAAGCCCCCCCCCCGCCACTGCAATGCTGGAGCCTCCAGGAGCTGCGGGGAGGAGTCCGTGGGCTCCGCCGGCAGCCGGCCACCCTGAGGTATAACCGGCCGCGGGCCCCAGGGCCCCGCTGCCAAACCCTCAACTGCTATACATTAATAATCAGAAAAATTAATTTCTGTTTGTAGACAAACTTTTTTTATTATTTTATCATCAGTGATTTTATCTTTATTATTATTTTTAATTATTCTGCATCGTCCTTTACCAGGGTGTTTCGTCTGTTACGTACTTCAGTACTTAGACTGTCCTGCTACTGAAATGTGAAACAGAAATAAAGCTGCGCTTCCAGTCCAAACCCGCAGTGAGTCACTCCGTTAAGGCTGTCAGGTGATGAAACGGGGAAATGAAATGTTTACCGGGAAAGTAGCTTAAAGGCACCACCCTTATTATTACCGCTAACGTTCCATTTTAATCCCTGGTTATTTCCAAGCAAAGGTTGGTTTTTCTGGCCGAAGGTTATTTCTCCTTGGCTCGACTTTTCTTATAGCTCATCCAAAACAGTCCTGATCTATCTCTATAGTTCTGCTGCTATAGGCTTAGACTGCTGGAGGACATAGGGACCCCTTTTTCATCATTCTGCTTCATTCTATCTCTGTTCTCCCACTCTGCAGAATCTGTTAGTTCAATCCAGATAGACAGAATTTTTATATTTGATATATATTTATATTTCTTTTTGATTTGTTAATTGAATAATAAACCCTGATCTAGTTGATATAACCTCTTAGTTGAAGTGATTCTCAATAAGAGAACATATCTTGCTTGATGAGAAAATTCATCCTTGTGTTAAAGATACTAATATAGATTATCTATTCATCCTAATCTAATATCCTGCAGGTTAAATTAAAGTTAAGTGTTTCACCAAGCAGAAGAGAAATGTAACACATAGATGTAAATTTTGGAGGATTTTGTTGATCAGATTAGTGAACCAGGCAGCAGAAGATTGATCCTTTATTCATCTGCATTTGGAAAGTAACATTGCATTAAATCACATGGTAATCTTTTTCCTTTTCTGCTCCACTTTCAGCAAAGTGTTACCGTCCTATATTTCCAAACTAGTTTAAACTGCATGGGTCTTTATTAAACCGTGTTAAATTAACCAGTTCACATTCATCAAAACCAGTCAGAACCAAACAGATGTTTAAGAATCTCAGCAGCAATGGCGACGGTTCCCATCATTCCCTAAAATGTTCCCAGCTTCTTATCTCTGAAAACAAGGCGTCTCCAGGACAGGAGGTGTAGTTCACCACCTGTCTGTGGCCTTGGATGGTGAAGTTAGCTGTCAGGGCTCCTCCGTTCACAGCACATCGCACCAACCGATGACGCAGCAGGTCCATGGCGTAGCGAGAAGGCAGCGCGGCCGTGTAGTTTCCGATGATTGACACGCCGTAGCCGACAGCGTTGTGTCCCCTGGTGTGTGTGCCGACGTGGCTCCACCCCTTTCCTTCGTAGATGTAACCATCGGATCCAACTACGAAACTGAAAAGATAAAATACTTCAGTCTAAAGTAAATCATTCAAAACACGGTTCTACAAAAGTTGACATAAAATATGATGCGTGTTTTAGAGCAGAACTGGTCAAAATGGTGGAGAAATAGAAAGATATTTCTAAATGTATCAGGAGTCTGAAAGCATGTTTTTTCTCAGCCTATTTGTGAGATGAAATATTTAGATTGATCCTTTTCTTTGCCTAAAGGAGTGAGTTTAGAGAAACCTTGTAGCCGCCTCTGTGCTGTGATGTTTAAGGTAGGGATGACAGAGAGCAGGTCCTCCTCACTCTGGACAAGCGTGAAATAAAGATAACCTGCCCTCTAACGTGCTTAAGGCTCCTTCATGCCGTGAACAGAAGACAGCTGTTATGAAACGTTTATCTGGTCAGTGAAAGATTTATTAACCTAACAGGG